CGCTAATCACGTGCTGAGTGTCGCTGTATAATAATATGTACAGAGCGGTTGTAGTCTCTTATAGCGATTTTATTTGACGCGACCTAGAGGTTTATTGAATCTCTTGTAGTTTCCAGAATGGATCGCTAAAATAGCTCCGATTCTATCGATACGTTTAATATAAATATATATACGTATATTTTGTATACTTTTCAAAGTGGGTAATTTGGTTTAGTCACTTTTCATTTATTTGAGAATAACATAAAATGTGTGTGAATAAACTATATGGCTAAATGTTAGGAGTGTAGGTACCTATATAAAACTATATGTGGTCTAAAACTAAAGCAACCGGTTGTCTAAGTGAGATCACATGGTAATTTTTTTAAAAAGGAAAAAATGTTACCCTTAAAACTAACCAAATAAAAATAACAACTATTACAAACTGATCATCACATCCTTAGGTACTATTTCGGTGCAATTAAATATTTATAATATCGTATAATTACCTGGAGTTAACCAAAATGTCCTAAGTGATCCGATCCAGACAACTCTCCCCAACTTTTTAAGGTGCCTATCCGATTCTGAATGTAGGGGACCATTCCGGCAATGCTTTCTCCGGCTTTTGCGACGTGAAACAACTGATCGCATTATTGTTCGGTGGTAATATCATAAGATTAAAACTATATTGTGTATATCAATTATATATATAAACTCAACTGGTTATAAAATCAGAACCGCGATAAAGATATTAATCTGTAACCACAGACTCATATAAAATACAAACACGGTCCGTAATCTTTATACGAATATTTTGTAAAATGATAATGGGTCAGAAAAACGTTTATTGGTTAATTTATTTGATTTTCCCTGAATATTAGTTAAACAGAAAACTCTATATTACTTAAAATAGAAACAAAGGCCATGTGGAGGGGGATCCGTACTCTACCCCCCCCCCTCCGTGAGAACACCCGTGGTTCTATCAAATACATAATACACAAAATCCGAAACGGACCAAAAACGATTCCGGTACATTATATACCAGGCGGGTGCACTTATCATCTCGGAAAGTATTAAATTTTTTCGGAATTTGTTTTCCTGAACATTCAACAACATATTATTTTTCGTTACCCGTATTTTCTGGGGTAAAAACATTACTTACTTTTGATTTTAATATGGCAATTTATATATTAAAAAGTCTATAAATAAACGGAGTTTAAGTCATAATAAATTTTAGTGTTGAAATGTTATTGATATCGTGTTTACCGGCCGTAAAACATTTGCGCATTGCCTGTTCACCTGCACCAGATTATCTTACATAATATGTGCATATATAATGTGTACAATACTCCGGTGGCGATAATCCGAATGGTGGAGGGGGGAGGGGGCAGATATAGTTGTATCGGGGTTTTCGTCACACTTGATATTAGCGCAATCACAAATATCATATTGTAAGTTTTTGTTGGAGGAGAGTTGTAGTGGAGTATCATTTGTGTGGCGGCATTTTAGTGACGCCCCACTACTCTCTCCTGACCTGAACTAGAATGTCTCGTCGACGGCTCTACAGAAATCAAAAATGTCAACATTAAAACGTATTTTAAACAAATACCCCATCCATTTACGAATTCTTCAATGTAGGTTGCCGTTTGAAAATCGAAAGTAGGTAGTGGTTTCAACCCCGAAAATACGGGCGATAGCAAATAACGTAAATCTAATGTTGTGGAGCGGCCTGTTTGCTAAATTGTTCTAGAAAACAAATTCCGGAAAAAGTTAACACTCTCCGAGATAACGAGCGTGCCCACTTAAATGGATCACTTGGTGTACATACATTTATATAAATATTGTACGATTTGCGAAATATATTCGCGCGGTCAGAAAAATTTATGAATCGCATTGCGAATTGTGAAACTCGCCAATTATTGTGTGTACCGCAACCGCAATATTATTATATCACTATTTGGCGTGACAATGTATGGACCGAGATAATTATTATTTTTTCTTCGTAGCGTGTATAACATAACATAACTCGCGGACACGTACGTAAAAAAAAAAAAAAAAACACGAAAATGATAGGTAACACGTCGTCCGGCGACAGTTTTAATGAAAACATTACGTGCGGTCCCGTCGAATGATTTTGGCGGTTTTCCAACGGAATCGCGCGCGCGTGTATTACAATAATACAAGTATACAACGCGAAATGGCCGGTGTGACAGTGGCGATTTTCTCGGGGCCTCCCGGCGGCGGTGTATAGAAAATAAATAAAAAATACAGGTAACGAATGGCGGATATCGTGAAATTATGGAAAAACGATGGGAAATTATTGTACAATAATTGTGGAAAATTACGGAGAAAAAAAAATAGTAGAATTCCCTGCCGGGCGATTCCTAACCTAACCTACCTAACGCCATATCAAGCGAATACATTCGGTATTTTAGTATTAACACGGTCTTAAACTGTTTCCGTGCACAACCGTTAGAGAATCGTAAAAATCTTCCATACCCAAATGTTTAACTGAATTAACAGTTTTAGTTCGCGCTAATGGCCGAATTTGTGACTGAAAATTCGCGGTTCTTTCGTGGAACCGCCCTGCGACGGGTCGCGTTAGGTTTGAAGACATCGATATCGCCATATCGGTATCAAAGTATGCAACGGCGGTGGTCTAAACACCATAAACAATTTTACTCGGAATCTTCATTTAGATATTATCGCGGAATCATTTTAAAAAATAATATTTTTTTTTTAAAAAAAAACCGCTCCACGCGTGTAATAATATTATACGAGTACGTTCGTATATCGGTGTGCCGTAAACATATTCGTATTTGTAATTATAATGTTTAATATTACTGTTATATTATACATGCCCGTCGTCGTACGCCCGCGTTTCACGACTAGTCTTTGACAAATAAAAATACGATAACCTGTTTATATTTTACATAATATTCAAATATCCGAACTGATTGAAATTAACATGTTATTATATTATACATGCCGTATGGATGGATAATAATAATAAAAATATTATGTCCGCACACGCACCCGAACGTATACAATGTTTAGATTACGTACGGTCGAGAGATGGGTATGTATAGTTATTCGAAATGAACATTAAGTGATAAAAACAAAAACAAAATCTCGTCGGATTTCACGTCGTTACACTGGTTGGTCCGAACAGTGTTATAACGTTAAACATAAAAAAAAAAAAAATGCGTTTTAACGTTTATCTACACAATGATAAATAACGGGGGAACCGAATAAATCAGATTAAAAAAAAAAAAAAAAAAAAATGGAAAAAAAGACGTCCTAGGCTAATGAGAACGGGTGCAGCTACTGCATTATATAGATAATTTAATGTATACCCGTAAGTGACGATAAACTACTGCTTACGGAAAAACGAATCTGAACGGAGTTCAGTTGATAGTGTTGCTTTGTCAACATTATATATGCCATATTATAGTAAATATTTAATTGGGCTTTCTATATTTTCTTTAATAATATTTGTTTAATGTTTTACCGATTTTCCCAGTTTTCCTACGTTTTTCCCGGTTTTCCCATGTTTTATGTTGGGTTTTTTTACATTTACTGGGTAAACTCCCGAGAAAATCGAAAAATGACCTCTCCAAAGTACCTCCCTAAAGTGAAATTTCTTTTTAAAAACGTTGCCATCATTAAACCTAACCTCGCTAGTAGAAAAGTAGTTCACAGAAAAAAAAGATTTCCGTAATGTATTTTAGCTAATACCTACATTTCTTATATTTTCCCGTTTTTTATTTTTCGGTTTTTCAAATTTGATGAGAAAATCAAAAAATAACCTCCCTAAAGTACTTCCCCACGCCGATTTCCTTCAAGATAAATGTAATATTCAAAAGAATAAAAACAATGTAATTAGGGATATCCCAGATAGTTTTTCAAAATTATAAAAACCATTAGATAGTGACGCACAAGAGGAAGTCAATCAACAAGTTCATCGAACTTCTGAAGAAAATGATGTGGAATATAGTAGACCGAAACGTTTGATCAAAAAACCCGAATACTTAAACGATTATGACACTACATGATCCTATGCCATGCCATTGTCAGCGGAAACCTTTGTCAATAATTTACCAAATTCGCATGGTGATGTAGTGAAAAATCGAATGTGAAGAGCAGTAGGAGGGTGCGATGAAAGAAGAAATGGCATCTCATCAAGAAAATAACACTCGTCCAAAGTCGTCAAAGCTGTCAAAGCTAGATGGATCTATAGATTAAAATCTGAAGGTGACAAAAACGATACAAAGCAAGGTCAGCGGCAAAAGGTCACCTACAAAAACCAGGCTTTGATTATATACGAAACTTGTGCCTCTATAGAAAATACGATCATAATAATAATATTATTGTGTGTCGTAAATCAAAAACATGTGTATACGTGTCAGCTTAAATGTAAAAACAGCTTTTCTCAATAGGCAATTGGATGAAAAAGTATATACGTAACGACATCAAGGCTTTGTTGAAAACCCATCGATAGTTTGCAAATTACATAAGCCCATTTACGGACTTAAACAGGCTCCGAAATGCTGGGACGGGAGATTCGACACATTCATTACCAATCAAGGTTTTTATATATAGCGATTCAGATAAGTGCTTGTACGTACGAGTTGATGAATGTTCTTGTGCATATTTGAAACTCTATGCTGATGATATTTTATTAGCAGCAGAAAAGAACATGGTGTTATCTGTAGTAAAAAAACCGTTAAATAAGGTACTCATCATTTAAAAGAAAATACTGTGACATTTCTTGGAATAAAAATTGACAGAGATGAAGACAAATATGTTCTTAAATTGGATCGAAGTAAATATACTAGGGATTTACTTCTAAGACTAGGTATGTATGATTGTAAACCATGTAAAATTCCGTTCAAGTTAATTTTAATATTTGTCACTGATCATAATTCAACAAGAACTAACAGACCTTATCGAGAATCTGTGGGGTGTCTTATGTACCTAATGACACACACACACGTCCTGGTATTAGTTTTGCGGTAAATATTATGAGTCGCCATCAGTCCGATGATCATCAGACGCAGAGAGTGCTACGTTATCTAAAAGGAACTGAAAATTTATGTTTAGTATACCCGGTTAAGAAAATGTGTGATACAGTTGGTGGGCGTTGCCATGCTGATTTCGCCAGTGATACTGAGCTGAGGAAATCAACAACTGGGTACATTTCTCAACTTTTTGGATCGACAATTGCCTGGTCTAGTTGCAAACAATTAACAGTTGCCATGTCAAGTACAAGAGCATATAACGTTGGCCAGCACAGTAAGTGAATGTTTTATGGTTGAGGGGTATGTTATATAAAATACAGATATTGAACCTCGCTGTGTACCAATGTACCAATCACAGATCAAATTGGTAACATTCAGAAATATTTGCGAAATCATTACCTTTAAATAACTTTCGAAAGTTGTTCAGTTTATTATGTATGTCATTGTGATTGTGAAAAATAAATTTATATTTTCTTTATCCTCTGCAATTATTAATAATATTTAATAATTTTTATTTTATTTTTTTGTATAAACTGTATTACCTATGCTAACTATGTTATTATTATTTATTTTTTTATGTATATATAAGATAAAATATGTTAAAACAGAGAGATTTTAGTTTAAGTGGAAGTGTTAAATTGGCAGTACTCTACAAACAGAGTTTCTCAGAAAATTTTATTTCCGAGATAACTTAGGGAGGTAATTTTTTTTTTTTTTGATTTTCCCAATAAACAAGAATAATCATGAAAAATGGAGGAAAAACGTTAAAATGTACAAAATACAATATTACGAATTTTTTCTCTGTAGACAATTTTCCTACTAGCAATTTAGCTCCGGTTTACAATGATAGCACTTTTTCTAAAAGGAAATTTGACTGGGGAAGTACTTAAGATAGGTCCTTTTACGATTACACAAAGTGTTTTCCCAGAAAATGTGAAAAGCCAGGAAAAAACATGGTAAAACTGGGAAAAACGAAGGAAAACGGATAAAATATTAAACAAATATTATTTGTGAAAATATTTTATGCCCATTTAATTATTTTACTATAATATGATATACATATATATTGTTGACAGAGCAACACTATCAACTGAAATCCGCTCAGAATCGTTTTTTCGTTAGAAATGGTTTATCGTTGCTTACAGATATACATTAATTTACCTATAATAGTGGCTGCACTTTAGTCCATTATCCCAGGACGTTATTTTTTAGTATGTTAATGTATATAATCTCAATAAATTGTACATCACTAATCCAAAGGAATTTTGACACCGTTTTTGAAATAAAAGCACTTAAGTAGGAAAACGTACAATTTCACGATATCGTTATTTTATAAAAACACGGACGACGTCTTATACCAGAAATATGATTTAATCGAACAATCACCAGGTACCTTTTTTGTTGCCTTTTCGAGCTTTTAATGAATTTTAATGTTTAGGAGTTTTATTACTGTAATTCTGTTTTAAATACACGTAGAGACTTGAAACTTATTAATAATACTTAGACTTACACAGACGTGACAAAATTTCTAAAATTATCGAACGACTTTTTTTATTAAGCGTTTTAAAATCCAATTTAAACGAATATCGCAAAAAAAAAAAAATTACGACACTATCAAATAATGTATTATCGAGCTGCGCTCGGAAACGTCTTTTGTCAAGCAATGGTTTATCGTTGTTTGCAGACATAAATAAAATAACATTGTGTATTCTACCTTCCCAACTTCCCATCTATTTTTATTTTATACTATTATAAAAAGGGAGGCTATTATAGTAATTTATTACATTTTAAAAAACTGCACTACAATATCTGCACTGTATTTAAAATTACAGCTACGGACTTTCCAATTAATTTACATACTTTGTAACGGTCATTATGCATTCTATACTTTCGGGGAAAAATCGACAATAATTAACATAATATAATCAATTGAATATTCTACGTAATATATTTCTAATAAATATATAGATTTAAATTTTAATAAAAGATAGGATAACGGGGACAGGTGCAGTCACTGTTGTAGGCGGAGAGTCGGGAATTTAAGAGTGTAAGATACAGACGAGAATTTAATATATATATTTGTAAGCAACAACTAACCATTGCTAACGAACAAACGATTCTGAGCGGAGCTCAGTTGATTGTGATGCTTTGTCTGTTGTCAACAATATAAATGTCATAATATGGTAAAATAATTAAGCATTGGAATTATACATTTTCTTTAATAATATTTGTTTAATATTGATCCGATTTTCACGGTAGCGGAGAATGCATGTATCGGTTTTACAAAAACATGTTAATTTTTTTTTGGACTGTGTACACAAATTCTACCAGAAATCTTGCTCCGAATTGTACGCGTGACACCATTTCTGAAATTAAATATTGTCCAGATGGTACTTTTGGGAGGTTATTATTCATATTTGTAGTCCTCATCCCTGTGAGTAATATAAAAAAAAAAAAAAATAGAATTTGATTATCTTTGTTGTCTCCGGAGATATTCAAAGGGATATTATATATCTTCGTGGGACACAAATAAATTCAAGTTTTTAATAGAATTTTTCCCAATAATACGTTATACCACTGCATTGTTGTAAAATGTTGCGTGTTTAGACTGTTCCAAAAATGCTATTACATTCTAAATACACACACCGAATATGTTATAAAACTATATTATTGCAGTATAATATCTGATACGTGCACGAACTTTGTCTATCGACCTGGTATCCTATAAGTTTCAAATTTATACCATACAAATAATTAACAATTGATAAATTTGAGCAAATTGCAGTGTTTATAAGTCATTTATTAGATTGACTATATTTACCTATCGGGTATCAATAATTCATTGTCCGTGAAGAACTTTGACCGCGATTTGCTAATTTCGAATATTAAATTGCTGAAATTTACTAACTGTTTAACATTTTTCGACGTGCCTGTATGTTATTTTCAGTCGATCGGATGAGGCGGATGGCGGGCCAAGTGCCCGGATGTTTTTCATTAAAACCCCTCGTTGTACGATACGATTTAATTATTTTAAAGCAGCCATTTACACGCTGCAGTGCAGAATCCAGAAACACAATTATTTCTGAACGTACCAACACGCTATATAATATATTATGCTCGTTTAAGTCGAAATAATATTAAAGCATTCCTCCGAGCGCATAAATTTCAACTTAAACCACCACGGTGAGGGACGTGCGCCCCGCTGCATATAGCGTCCTAATTATTCGAATAGCTATCAAACTGAACCGTAATCGGAATATTTCTGTATCTAGACACGTATCACGGTAAAAATTGTCGTTATTTGGCGATGCACTTTTGAGAAACTTCATCGTTATCGTGAACTTAAATATGTACAGGATACGGAAAAGCGATGACCTTTCGGTTGGTGAATAAAAATTTTTCACAAGGTCTCTTATGGTCAAATAAGACCAATAACAATTATTAAATAATAATTTATATTGTTAGTTTTAACATTAGAACCGGCTAATGTATCCATACGGTTACATTCATACGGCGGTGGCTTAACAGTTGATTTGTTTGTGTTTTTAATCGGCCGGCAGCGTTTCCGATAGAACTATCTCGAGTCAGCAATAGTTTCCTCGTTGTGTTTTTAAGAACGGCCACGGCGAACGGCGACCGGCGTATAATAAATTTATCGGCGTTTAAACGGACATCCAGCGTCCCGCGGATTCAACACCCGGACACTTTTGATATCAGGTTTTAGGCGTCAATCAATTATTATCATTAATATTATAGACCAGCATATTTATAAACAATATGTTCGTGTATTCGTAAATAGACGGGAGCATACATGCGATAGTTACGATTTGAATATATTCGTTTTTCATTGCTCGAAGAATAAAAAAACATTACCAAAATTACTTCCGCGCCGGACAGACAAAATACCATAAACACATGCGACTCAAAAGAATAAAAATCACGTTCGACATAGGTGTTGTTGTGTTATAGTTATAGTTTCCGGTACAAGCAGTGGTGTTCGGAGATTTTTCAAAAGCCAGTGCAACTATATATTTGTCAACACTCGTCCATTCCGCTATCTGTGGCGTACTTTCATTGAAAATCCGAAATAAATACCGTAACGAGACACCGATAAGAGCATAAAATATCGGAGCGGAAATCGGGTGGCTACAGCTAGTAAAACTGCCACGAAAGTCCACTGCTACTGTCATATACTATACCGAACAACATCACCCGGCGCACATAAACACTTCCGAATACAATTGTTACGAATGTATATTAATCCGAAGTGAAATTGAAAATTCGACGAACTTTAGAAAAACCGCTACGAAAGACAACGACTCCGAATTGATTGACGCCACCTCGTTTTTTTATTATATTCAACTGACTATCAATATGAACGAAGGTAACTAAATGCGAGGTTTAATGATGAATTTTGGATTTTGATAAAACTATTTCGGAGTAGTTGTTAAACGGCCCAACGGGATATCGTGATTATTTACGTTCAACAGCAATTAGATTTGGAGCAGCGTTACAGTGGTGAAATGCTATTGCTACGTGGAGTAGTATAATACTAATAACATGTTCGTAGCAGTTAACATTCGTAGCAATAACGGTGCCTTCTCGAAATTGACGACATGTTTTCCACCATCAGCCGAGACTGAACCAAAAGACATCAACTTAGATGACTATGAAAAAGTATTTGGGTTATTTTTAACTAAGGATTGGACCTTATGTATATAACTTTTGTAATCAATTTTAGCAGTCCTTTTACAAATCGCTCTTAAACGAGAAAAATGTATATAATCAGAGATATTGTTAACCTCGTACTTTTTAAAAGTTAAATGCATAATTTTTTTTTTTTTGGTTCAATAACGATTTTAAATTACTAGAACACCACGAGTTGCCGTTAAATCGATTTTTCGCTACCTAAATCATTTACGTTTCGATTCTCGAACGAAATGTCAGGAAGCGAGTCGACAATACATTTTATAATATTGACATAGTTACAGTTTTTTAAAATCATAAACAAATTTATCATCAGATAGTGCTGGATACAATTGAGCGTAACATTAAGAGCTGGGTGATGTTTATCGATAGGTAATAAAGGGCCCGGGTCAGTGGCACATGTGACGTGAGCATTTGACAAAACTAAATCTATCATAACATTATTATCGATAAAAAGTAAGTACAATTGAATTGACTTAAACCAATATAAGATGACAACCTTAAAAAATTGTATTCAATTTGCGAAGAACAATTAGTTGGCAATGCATGATTGGGAAAGACTAATGAGGGTAAAT